ATGTACATAAGAGATAGGAGACTGCAAAGTTGCGATTGATTGTAGGAGTTGCGATTGATTTGGATCAATCGCAACTCTTGTCAGACAGCGTCCAGTGCTGGTATTGCGCCACTACAATTCTGAGCCGTTTCTTTTTTTGGTAGCTTTTCCTCTTCCACAGAATCATTAATTCCCTTCAAATTGAGATATTCTTAATCGTATGCCTATTCAGATCCTTGGTCATTCAGACTACTGGTATTCATGTTTGAATATTTCTTTCAAAATCTTTCAAACTCGGATTGTAGATGGATCGTATAGTGTGCTGTGGGCTTTACCGAGACCTAAATGAATTAAACAAAAAGCTCGCCCTCTAGTGTTAGTATTATACACACAGGCAGGTTCACACTGTAAAAGCTCTTCTACAAAACTTGTTAAACTAATCACATAGATGTGTCTAGCACATTCCTACAATATACTGCCTGCAGCGTTTAACATACATGTGCAAATGTCAAAGAGAAATTACCCTTCCCAGAAGTTAACTTCGGTTCAAGATCAAACATAGCACATCCGATATGCGTTGGGCTTTATGGCAAATATACTAAGTGGAGACTGACATCAGTCTCCATAACGCGATTAGTATACTTGTAATGCCCAACGCATATCGGATAGGCTAGATCAAACAGAGAAGGATATAAGTTCAAGTCTGAGAAATAAGATGACAAAGAATAAGTACATATATTTTTAGTATAAAGACAGCTGGTATCTTCAATGAAGTCACTACATGTACAAAGATAACTTTCCCTCATGTCATTTATGCCTCAGTCACAACTTTGCGTATTTGGCTTGCATATTGCCACGTTTTTATGGCAAGCCGTTTTAACATTTATTCCTTTTTCTTGATATCAAGAATTACCATTGCTTTACAACAGAAATCATTTCTTGATATCAAGAATTCAATTCTCGATATCAAGAAATAGGAATAAATGTTAAATGGCTTGCCATAAATACACATCAAAATGCAAGCCAAATATGCACAGGTGTGACTGAGGCATTAATACTCTGTACTTATTCTGTGTCAAATTTTTTCACAAATATTCTCCCATTTCAATTAAAATAACAGAATTAATATTCTCCCATTTCTATGATACAAGATGGGTAACATATCTTTATGACATGTTCTCGTTACATGTTTGGTAAGTATATAATGAATATCTTCCACCCAAAGCAAATCTAATATCCAAGACCTTTCTATATTGGATTATCATAATGAATGCATGTTTATATATACATTAATGTCATTAATTGGAATATAAGATGGGAATTAAAAGATCTGTGGGTATTTGAGGGTCGTTTGTACAAGTGAATCTCCAGCTGGTCTATAAACACTTTATATGTAGCTTTCTTCACCTCTCTGCATAGTCATTTGTTTGCTAAACGTGCAATTTTGCACGAAACAAGAGCTTTGCCAAATTACCCATTTCCAGTCTTGATTAGCTCCATGACAACCCTTTAAAGAGAAGGTTGAGTTCTGGGAAGAGGTAAACAATAACTTGTGAGCGTTATCACTGTTACAATGCAAGTGTGGAAGAACATCAGATAAAACATGTTCCCTGAAAAGCATGGCTCTTCAAATGCCTTCATATTCTAAATATGTCGTGTAACATCGTAAAAATTGGGACGGATTTTTACGCCACATGTTCTTGTAGTCCCATATCTTTCTGTGTACAGTGTTTGTAACTTTAGCAAGACTTGGCCAAAATTCTTATCATTTTGATGATTCCAGAACCTTGCAATAAACATGAATACTTATATGCTAGATAATCAACGTTTTCTGGTCGATTCCACACCGTTTCTATCACAATGCAATTGCATGACCAGAACTCAACTTCATCTTTAACACAGGTATAGATTAATCTTGCAATGGAAACAGTATATATTGATGCCTTTGGTATATCTATCCAAAGATCCATACAATGTATCACCAGGAGATTTTTGCATGTTAAGAGTAAATAAAACCCCTGAATTTTAGAGTAAAAAGTAATAAAGATTATGAAAGGGGGGAAAACAGTAACATAATTTAAGAAATACATGTATATCAAACAATGGAATACAAAATATTTGAAATCACTTTCATTGGTGATCTTTGTAAGATTTATAAAGAAATGCTTGCAAATAAATGAATTGCTTATCTATAGAAATGTTGGTTTATAACCATTCAACTAAATACAACACAGAGTGATTTCATACAAAGTAAAATATTACAAAAAAATAATACCTATGTGGAATTACATATTTGTTTGTTTGATTGCTTTTTTATTTTTTTTATTTTGTGTTGTCGCTGCAGTTGTCTGTTTTTATCAAGAAAGTAAACTACTGGTAGTCTATTTTGGGGGGGGGGTAATACCCCAATAGACTTTATATAGTTTATGACATATCAAGGAGGCATTTCCAAATAGTGGGGTTTGACTCTGACAGGTGCGCCAAGGACAGATGGACGCCCAACGTCTCAGTACGGACCCCAACATTTCAACATGAAACATAGTGCTCAGTGAAAAAAATACATGGGGGCTCGGGCCGAATTAGCCCCCGAAATGCCAAAAAGAGCCCTCGAAAGTCATAAAAGAGCCCCTCAAAATTTGCATAGAGTTCAATGCAAAACGAATTAAAGAGTGTTAGTTTCATGCAAGCAAGCTTGAAAAGTAGCCCCGAAATGTTTAAAGTATTTTTTTCGTGATAGTGCTCATGCATACAGACTCCAAATCTGGACCCCCTTCCAAAAGAGTTAGTATAGAGCCCTGCCCATAAACATACAAGCTTGCACTAAACACTGTATTGATACATCTCAAAAGATAACACACTCACACAAATCACTTGTGTAGATTTAAAAGAGTGATAATAACATAGCAGATGAATTATATGAGATAAGACTGAATTCAACGGGGCTCAATGGCTCTCGCAGGATGAGAACTAACACATTTTCTGATTCTATCTCAACAAATTCTAAATCTGACATTTCCATTTTTTTTGTTTTGGTAAGATATCAGTAAATGAAGTTCATTTTGATCTACTACGGTACTTACAATAAATAATGATTATATATGCATTCACCTTCATCCCCAATTCATCAAGAAGTAGAGTCTTATTTATAAATCTTAGGCCTTATACATGTATATACAGTCAAACTTGTTTAGTGATCACCTGTATAAAAAGACCAACATTTTTGTTTCCCTTAATTAAAGGGATCGTTTAACAATGTTAAATCTGAGATACACGGCCCTACGTGTTATCAGTATCTGTGATATGGTGTAATATTGAGATTCCATGACATTTGCTCCGGCGACAATTGCTCCGCTGTAAATTTCATACACTAATCGAATGGCTAACTTCAACCCTGGATTCAACACTATACCCTACCCTAAACCTAACCCTAAACCTAACATAAAACACTATTGAAACCCTAACCCTAACCCTACATCTTAGACGAAATAAAGCCCGGAGCAATTGTCGCAGGAGCAAATGTCGTGTCACCAATATTGAAGCCCTAAAAAAAATTGCGCTTCAAAATGATCAAGAAGTGCCTCAAAAGAGTAAAACAAATTGAGTGACCAGTTTTACCATACTCATTTTACGCAAAAGACTGTAGTGTTATGAAAAACGTTTAGCAAACGGTTTTCAAAATTTGTAATTCCAATCATAAATATCTTGAAAATCACACAGGCGATCAGCTTGTAAAAGTTATGGGGTTCCTGACTGACCTAAAGGTATATAATTATCATTGCAGCATGAGCTAAATCAAGAATTTTGTTTCAGAATCTGAGACAAAGTTACCGGATCCCTTTAAATAAGACTTTTCATTGAAACATGTGTTACAGGAAACCTATGTTATATAGATCACCTGCCTGTAAAGACTACTTGAGTCTCCCTGTGGTGGTCTTTATATACAGGTTTCACTGCAATTTTTCTACAAACAGGGAATTCCTTGTACTATGATTGTAAGGAGGAATACATCTCAATATCCATCAATTATTGCTAAAATTTGAAACCAAACCAAGATTTTACAACATACCTCTCTACAGGTTTGGCAAGTACACAAGAAACTGAACTAGAATACCAACACTCATAATATATACATAGCCATGTACATACATATACATGTACATGTAGTTGATTTACCAGGTGATTAAAAAATGATACATACTCGTACGCTATTGGTTGGAATTTGTAACGATGTACAGATAGTTATTGCAGATGTAGGACATCCTTTTCCTGCATCTAGTAATGTAAGTTGATATCTATTGTTTTAGTCTTGTCTAAAAGGTAATCATACAATGTCAATATATGATATATATGATGGTGGTGGTTATTTTACCTGAAAGCTAAGAAAGCAATAAATGCTTGAGCAACCAGAAGACTGACGGCTTTAGGTCCTCTTTGAGGGACCTGCTAATGAGGAGTAATGCCTTACCAAAGGGCACTAGCGCATCGCCTTGGTTTCGAACACGGGTCACCGGATAACTAGATCGACGATCGTGCACAGATACAGGTACCACAAGCAGAGACCTGGGGGGCGTTTCACAAAGCCTTTTTTCAATGACAAATAACAAATCATCAGTGACAAATCATCAGTGACAAATCATCAGTGACAAATCTGCTGATAACCAATCAGAAGCAAGGATTTCAGTAGCTTATATTTAACACCAATTGTCATTTGTCACTGAAGACAAATTTTGTGAAATGCCCCACAGAATGATTGACCCGCTGAAGTGCAACAATCGATCCAAAGTGATCATTTGAGAAATATCTTTCCACACCCTTTCAACGGCTAAAAAGTTTTATTCATTGTCGATCCGACGAACAGAGGCAAGGTTGGAATGGTAGGAGGAATGCACTCTCTTGGAAATACAAATATATACACAATTGTCAATCCATGTGATGGTTATTTTACCTGACTGCTAAGAAAGCATAAATGCTTGTGAGTAAGCAACCAGACGGCCAACGGCTTTAGGTCTTCTCCGAGTGACCTGGTAGTGAGGATTACTGCCTTACCAAAGGGCACTAGCGCATCACCTTGGCTTCGAACCCGGGTTACCGGATTACGAGACCACTGCTCTACCGACTGAGCTACCCCAATCGCGCCTCCTGTGAGAAATTAAAATAAAAGAATAATGGTGTGTAGCTCTAATCCCCATTGCTTCCTCTCTTTTTGAATTCTTTGCAAAGGTTGAAAAAATGCCCCGCCAAGGAATCGAACCCGAGTCACTGGCTTACATGCACATGCATGCCAAAAACTTGCTAAAAATAAACTACTCATTTTGGTTTTGTGTACAATCAAATTTCCATTTTTAATACCTTGTACTTTTTCTAGAGTATATTTTTACAAATAAATATTCTTCAAGTGTATATTATTAGTTTTGGTGTCAGGATCGATAGAATGATAGAGTTACTCTTCTGCCGTTTTGTCTTCCTTTGAGGTGAGTTCTTTTTCATTAGCTCCATCTCCATCGGTTCTCTCCGACATGGTTGCTGCGTCGGTGTTGTTTGGAAAGATGTGCTCATAGTTGAAGAGTATGGTGGCGATGAAGGAGTTGATCTGAGCCATAGCCGAGAGTGAAGCGGATGCATCTCGAGACCATACCAAGTTAGGACCAAACACGATGGCCAGGTTGGAGTCAGACATTTGGTTTTCACTGCTAAGACAGGATACCTTTTCAAAATGAAGCGGGAGCGAAAAGAAAAGAAGGCATAAGAAATTTGGGAGAGCGATCCTATTCAGGGCATATTTCTCCAATGATATTCTTTCAACATGACAAAACTAGATGGATCCGTAGGGATTTTACGAACAAAAACAGAAGCAATATTTCATATTCAAGTTCATTTTTAACAGGTTCTAAGAATATTGTGATAAAAGCTATTTTTCATATACAGTACATGTATGGCCCTTTGATCTTTGACCTCAAGACCCAAAAATCTAATCAATTCATTAGCCCTGCAAGATACATATATGTTTTGATTTTGATGGTAATCCCTCTATTGGTAGTAATGATAATGCGTTCACAAGCTATATTTTTCATATACAGTAATGAGCATAATGAGCCCCATGACCTCAAAATATACTCAGTTCATTGGCTCTGCAAGTTACATGTACATATATGTTTTGAGTTTGATTGTAATCCCTTCATTGGTACTAATGATAATACGATCACAAGCTATTTTTGCATACTTTACATCTTTCCTGTGACCTTTGACCTCATGACCCCAAATCTAATCAGTTCACTGGCTCTGCCAGATACATACATGACCTACGTTTGGCAGGAATCCATCAATTGGTTCTTGAGATAATGCAATCATGAGAAAGGAACGGACGGGCGGACAACCCGCAAACATTATTCCTCCGGCTACTTCGTAACGGAGGCATAACAAGAATGACAACTCTTACAGATTATTTCTGATCTTCACTAGAACTCAACCTTCCCTAGTATATATGGTAACTTTGGACCATCTATTAGAGTACCTTAGCGAAAGGAAGTGGCATATAAGACATGTCTGGAGGGCAAAAGGCATAATACTTTGATCAAAAGTTCCTTTTTTGTCAGATATCTGAATGAAAATTGAGGTAACATTAAGTCTAATCGAGACAGAACGTGTCACTATGAACATGACGGACAAAGAGAGCGGACAAAATAAACAGTTCCTCATTCTACCCTCAACAATTGCTATGGTAGACAAAGGAACATCCCTTCACTGCTATTATGTAAAAATCTGTAGAACAGGTGAATATGCATGTGACACCTGTTCTACAGATTTTTACATAATAGCAGTGAAGGGATGTCCCTTTGTCTACCATAGCAATTGTTGAGGGTAGAATGAGGAACTGTATATTTTGTCCGCTTTCTTTGTCTGTCATGTTTATGGTGTGTATTTACCAGCCCTGTACCCAAACAATGTGGTTCTACCTCTGTGTAATCAAATTATGGTTTTCATTCAACAATCCCCCATTTTGCGTTACAGACGCTTCTTTTAGTGCCACTACCTTTCTGCTATTAGCTACCAAAGTCATTGTAAACCAATGTACCATTCTATTTCAATAGGAAGTGGTGAGGATGTACATTAATACAAAACAAAAATTGTTATGGGATGGGGTTGTAGATCAATAGATGGGTCAATGATATGCTTCTAGCCTATGGACCACATATTGTCATCAGGACACGTTTACCATCAGGAAAGGGTATTTCATAAGTTCCATAAGGTATGTAATATGAGCTTTCCTCTCTAAGTAGTTTCATAAGTTATCTGATATCAGCTTACCTCTTTAAGTAGTTTCATAAGGTATGTGATATGAGCTTACCTCTCTAAGTAGTTTCATAAGGTATGTGATATAAGCTTACCTCTCTAAGTAGTTTCATAAAGTATGTGATATAAGCTTACCTCTTTGAGTAGTTTCATAAGGTATGTGATATGAGCTGACCTCTCTAAGTAGTTTCATAAGGTATGTGATATAAGCTTACCTCTCTATTTCATAAGGTATGTGATATAAGCTTACCTCTCTAAGTAGTTTCATAAGGTATGTGATATAAGCTTACCTCTCTAAGTAGTTTCATAAAGTATGTGATAAAAGCTTACCTCTCTAAGTAGTTTCATAAGGTATGTGATATAAGCTTACCTCTCTAAGTAGTTTCATAAGGTATGTGATATAAGCTTACCTCTCTGAGTAGTTTCATAAAGTATGTGATATGAGCTTACCTCTCTGAGTAGTTTCATAAGGTATGTGAAGATGAGTCTGTTCTCCTCAGGAAGCCTGTCGTGGATTAAACTCTTGCATTCTTCTGCCCTGTCTGTGTTGTCTTGAAGATCTGACAGGAAATAGCCATCATTTCAACATTATTAGCATAGGTGTGCATTGACATAAGATGTAATTCAAACATTTGAATTCATTTATTCACATCTAATACAAAATACAATGTATGCAGAAATAAACAACATTGTACAGAAAGTAGACAAATGTTAGAAATGAAAAAAAATGTGTACACTGTGATGAAGTGGATGTGAGGGAGTAGCAAAAGCCATTGACCTGTCAAATAGCCTTTTTCATTTGCATATGCAGCCCCTCGATTGTCTACTATCTATTATGTATAACTTAATATTTGGCTGTAATTCCTTCTCTTTCTATTTTTCTTAAGCGCTTAGAGACATATTTGTGATAAGCGCTATACAAATGTTGTTAATTATTATTATTTATTAACATTCATCACTCTCACAAATCAAAAGTTACAATATATACATGACTACCGGTAATAAACACAAAATAACAACAATAATAAGAAGAAAATAGAAAGAAAAAAAAAACACAAAATAACATTACAAAATTGGAGACAACTAGTGTAAATCCAGGAACTGTCACAACAGGAATATTTCATGAAGTCTAAACAGCCTTTCACATTCACTTAGCAAAAACTGATTTTCCTGAAAACTGTGATCCCTCTATTTCACCCATTGCCTTCTGGAGCCAGGTGGCCTCTTTATCAAACCTATGGCAATGAATGAACTCGGTAGTCAACAGGCCCACTGCATGAAACTTACCCACATCTCAACCACTCACAAAATCCCTAAACTTTTCAAACATGAAAAGATTCTGGGTGTGCAGTATCTGCAAAGTTTCTATGAAACGATGCCATTATATGAATACACTGTGGTACTGAGCATTTGATATTTTTCCAACTTACTGTGAATTTTGAGAATGTCATCGTATAGGTCAAAGGTCATGATTGGTTCTGGAAGTTCTCGAAAGAATGCTTTCAGGAGAAGAGCTGGAACATGGACATCTCCTACATCCGTAAAGTTGACTGGATCACCTTTTTAAAGGAAAGATCAGAAACAACTTGTCCAATCTCATTGCTACACACAAATGTTAATTTGAAATACATTGAATCAATGTCCAGTTCACTCTTTGAGCATTGCGCCAAAAATTCTAAACTTGGCACATTTGTCAAAGTGCCATTCTTCAACTTTAAACAAATCGTGGAGCCCCGAAGATTTTCCTAAATATAGGAACTGAAACATAAAAGATACCATTCAAAGTAAATGTATGTCATAGACAAACATATTGAGGGCATAATTTGACCAGTTTAAAAAACTTGTTGTTTTCTAAATGCACTGGTAAAAAAAGTTAGGCTTCCCCCATGACACTGTAGATGAAAACATGAGCAGCCCAGCAAGATTTGTCAGAAACTCCAGCTTACAGCCACCCAGATACTGGAGTGAAAAGTGGTTTAAGCAATGGCATGCACTTTGGTTTGCCAATGTTGGACTATTAAGGAAGTGATCTGATCATGAAGTGTTTAGTGGAAGTGCGTGGTACACGGATAGGTGCATGCCGACATTTTAAAATTACCAAGCGCCATTGTTATTTGTAGTTGTTAAAATTTCACTTAAATTGTATCATAATGTGAAAAAGGATGTCATTTAAAAAGGAAAAATTTCTGCAAGGATTTTCATAACAAATGTGTATGAAATCAAATATTGAATATTCAAATATTGATAAAAGAATATTGATGAAAGAATACAAAATTTAGGTTTTCTTCATACAACAGACAGCCCAAATTTTAGTGGTAGTGGTGGTGGTTATTTAACCTGACTGCTAAGAAAGGATAAATCCTTGTTCGTAAGCAACCAGAGGACCGACGGCTTTAGGTCTTCTCAGAGAGACCTGGTAATGAGGATTATCAATATTTGTCTTCAAACACATTTTTGGGGGAAGAAGGGGAGAAGTGTGTCTTAAATAACATCCTCTTTCACATTTTGATACAATTTAACTTTTGCCATCAAATTTTAGGCGATTTTGGGGCTCCCAACACTTTAGAGGGGCTTCAAGGTATAGCACCACCTTGGGGTGCCTACTTGTTGTTTGTTATCAATTGTGCTGCTATGTTCAGCTCTGTTCTGGGTAGCGCTCTCCCACTCGGGTTCTTCCTCACTTGTGATTTAAAGGGAACCAAAACCTTCATACTAAGTTACTTTTATTGTAAAACAAAACAAATTCTTTTGTTTTCTTCGTATTTATTTGTGCTCTTGATCCGACTTCATAACATGTTAAGTAGAATATCATTTTGCATTCTATACCTTGCTTTCAGGGGAGTAGATTATCTCAATTACAAGAAGGAAAAACATGAATTTGATGTACAAAAGGCATGGAGAGTTGTCCACAAATGATGTCATCAAATTGAATATTGCCCTCTAGTGACTAGTCATTTCAAAAAGCTTTAACTTCCTTATTCCTTGCCAGATTTTGTTCCAATTTTCACTGATTTTATTCAAATATCTTAAACTTTACAATAAAAGTAACTTAGTATGAAGGTTTTGGTTCCCTTTAAATAAAGAGCATTAAAATTGACTCAGGACTGATGTCTCTTCTCCTTCATCGCACGATGGCAGCAGTGGGATACAAACCCACGCCATCAAAGTGCCTCACATGACTTGATTCTCTGACCAATCCTTGAACAACTTGTGAACTAAGCGCAACCTTGGCACAACTACTACGTGACATGGAGTGCCCATGACATTGCAAACTGAACTTATGGCACGGCATGGCAAAATTGTGTTATCGACAGTGGTGCATGTCACAAAATGGCATGACTTGGCATTCAAGACCTTTTGGCTTTGTGGAACTAAAATTCCTACAAGTATCCAGGCGGCTAAAGACAGCTGATGACATCACTTGCATATCATGAACATGAAGCTTTCTATTCCACTGGTTTCAAACCTGTCTCAGCAGATACATTATTTATGGGGTGTCTAGTACATGCTTACCTCTGTTGTACATTTCTTGGACTTTCTTCACAGTTATAGCATTGGGGCATCGCCTAAACAGTCCCTCCGTTCTCAAACCTGCAGCACAAAGATATTATTGTAATAAATAATGATAATGATAATAATAATAATAGTTCCTTCTTATATACCGGTAACGCTTTCCAGGACCGCAGGCCCTCTCAAAGCGCTTTACAGATATATATTATTACCCCGGTCATCGGATTCAGGCTTACCCGCACACAATGTATGCACATTCTCCACTCCTTGGGGAGCATTCCAGCCAGGCGTCATTCTTACAAGCGCACACTTGCTCATCGAACCACATTAACTTTCACATCCTACTGGGTACCCATAAACACCTGGGTGGAGAGTGGCAAATTTAGATCAATGTCTTGCAAAAGGACATTAGTGCCGCGAGGGGACTTGAACCGCTGACCTTGTGATCCACAGTCTGTAGCCATATCCTCTCAACCACGACACCTCTACATATAGCGCAGCTACTATATCAATTTGCTCTAATGCGCTGATAACAAAGTATCACATTATTACCCCGGCTGTAGCTGAGCGGCCATAATAAAGTGCTAAAGCATTAAAAGAATTTCTTCCTACCATGTACTCATTTACTAGTATGTCATATAATCTTGCACAGTACTTGTAGTGACACTCCAAAAATTAATGAACCTGAATAGTTATTCATCTAGAAATCGTGCCACTAGCTAAAACATCTTATATATGAACTTTATTCACTAGCTAAAAAACATCTCATATATGAAATATATTCACTAGCTAAACTATCTTATATGAACTTTAAAGAATTAAAATTGAGATTAAAGTTCTCTACTTCATCAGTGTTAACCCTTACTGTACTGGGCTATTTTGAGCACCCTCTGACTGGGGGGGGGGGGGGGGCCTGGGAGGCCCCCCCCCCCTATGATCTCGGCCGTCGAATGTCCGATGAACGCGAAAATTTGCATATTTGTAGAAATTTACGTAAGGAACAAGATGGTATAATTAGTTTTTTCCTAATATGCAAATTTTTGTCGTTATAGCCTAATTAATTATGCAAAATGCTAATTTTATGCATTTTACAGAAAACGCTACATATTTGTCGGTAGACTTGTGAAGAATCTTGAAAATGTATTGAATAAATGTTTCCTTCATCTCAAATTCATGAGGTTTCATTATTTTTATATTTGAAAATGCATAGGTTAATTTGCATAAATTATGAATATGCAAATTACGCATTCATGAATATCAAATCAGGAACTATATTTAGGGAACTAGAATCATTACAAAAATTGTCAGACTCCACTTTTTGAATGTTGAAACTCATTATTCATATGAAACTTCTTTTCTAACACAAAATAGTTATTTGATGTAATTAATAATGATAATTTATGCAAATTTGATGCGATTTTCAACTATTTATTTTCTTATGTATTTTATTGTTTTTATTTCTTATTATATCTATTGTTTTATTTATAATGTATTCTTTTGTTCTGGAATACATCAAGTTACTCTGAGAAACATATAAAAGCAATTTGATATCAATTCATATCTTCACATTTCTGCTTGTACATGAATATATGCAATTATAGCACTTTTTTTATTGACATGCGCATACTAATTGTTACGTAACACCTTACAGGTATATCCGATTTTGACGAAAATGGTATCAAAATGTGCGCAAGACTTGAGGGAAAAAGTCATGAAACGACAATTCAAAATTCCAAGCGGTTGCGGCGCGATCTCCAAAAATGTACAGTAAGGGTTAAATCATCTTTCAGAGAACAAACCTTCAACCTTCTACCTCTTCTTGACTCGATGAGGAAAATGTGTTTTTTAGTCTAAACTTCTAGCAAAAGATTTAAATACTTGGGTGGAACTTGTAAATATCAATGTTCAAAAGCAAGGGCATGCCACAGGAAGCAATCCCAGACACTGCATTTGCCATTTCTCGTGTTTTATCCTGAATATCTTAATATGAAGAAGTGATTAGCATCAAATCTCTCTGTAAAATGTTAGTACTCACTTTTGCATCTTTAATTTGACATTCAAATGTCTCAATTCCAACAAAAACATTGAAAATACATAGGTAAATACATGAAATAGATATAGAGGTCTGTACAAGTTTACAACATATACAGTAGGTATAATAAAATACAAATTTGAAAATAAATGGTAGTATGGCAATGAGGATGGCCATAAAAGACCAAGTTGGGGTTTTGTCCAGACGGCCAACAGAACAAAACATAGAGCATTAAATCTCCCTCTCTGATAACTAAAGGGATTTAGTTTCTTCAGAAATCTAGCCATCTGATTGGTCGAAATTGGAGTCCTGATTTTAGCCATTCCCGTAAAGAAAAGAAAAATGCCAGTAATGGTCAATCGTTCATGAGTGAGATTCCCCCAGGATTCCAGTTACCGGGAAAATAGTTAAATTTTGCTGCGATCCCCATTGGTTTAGGTGTTAAATTTTTCTTTATGCGAATACCACGCAGTGCTTTTTGTCTGCGATTCCCAATTGATTGTAACGTTTAGTCATCTTTCCATTAAAGATTAACAGACAGTGTCTCAGATTTTCTGTGATGTTTTAACCAATCTTTACTCAAGAAAAGGATAAGGTAAGAATTCTTGGTAAGAATTCCGAAGTCGTCGGGTTGTGCACATCCCCAAGAGCCAACAGCAAGGCCTTGAATATTAAAGCAGTCGATACGTCTTTTATATACCGAATTGACACAAAAATTTACCATGTCAATTCGGTATATAAAAGACGTATCGACTGCTTTAATATTCAAGGCCTTGCTGTTGGCTCTTGGGGATGTGCACAACCCGACGACTTCGGGGTCATGGCAGAATGTGCACGTCCCTTGAGTCTAAAAGGCTGCCAGGCCTCTCATGGTAGTCAATATTTCTATACTATTTGTCTTTTCTGGAAGCAAATAGTGCTCACCATTTCTCTTCAGGTATTCAACTGTCTCTCTGACAACTTTAGGGATAGCTCCTTCAGCTCCATTCTCTCTCAAGCTGTAGAGAGAGAGAGAGAGAGAGTACAAGTAAAATATCATTGTTTTAAAATTATTATCACAAGTAGCAGGTTGTCAAACTGACTAATCACAATTAAAACATTTCTGTAACTTCGCATGCCCTAGGATGTCTAGCTGTAAAACATTTGGAGGGCGGATGCATAAAAATCTATGTCCACTATCTCCGAAGATCCAGTTGCTTTTGTGTCATGCAATGTCGCCTTTCCCTGAGATAAGTGCATACTTTGATACCATTAGCTTTGTGTTCCACAAATTTCTTATGTTGCAAACATGTCTTAGAAATTGTGTTTGTCAATATAATAGTGATACATAACATCATCTGAGCAGCAGCGAACAAATGTGATTGGCCTATTTGAGACCCTCCTTACAGGGACTGCTGATGTGACCAGGGACCTGTTTCACAAAGCGTTTTTTCAATGACAAATGACAAAAATCAATGACAAATCTGCTCATAACCGATCAGAAGCAAGGATTTCAGTAGCTTAGGTATAACAAAAATTGTCATTTGTAACTGATGACAAGTTTTGTGAAACGCCCCCCAGCTGTCAGCAATTGTCTGTTGATACCTCAACTGGCTTTGTTTGCAATTGCACAATATATATTTTGGTCTAAACACCAAAATCCACAATAACATCAACACAAAAAAGCTGAGGCAAAACTGGTCCACAGTATTTGGCTGAGGGTCCGGTTTCATAAAGCTTGTTATCAGTTACAAGTGCCACATCTCCATGACAAATCTGCTCATAGCCAATCAAATGTAAGGATTTCAGTAGCTCATAACACTCAACATATCTTGTCATTCATAACAAGTTTGGTGAAACAGGGTAACAGGGCCCTGTTTTTATGTAGTTTGCTGCTGTATGAGGGATCAGAACAAAAATAAAAACAAGTGGGATGTATAGAGTGGTGAAGTGTGACGTCATCAAAAGTCTATTTTTAGAATTTCTCAATTTTTTCTTCATTTTCCGAAAGAGCATCAAAAATAATGTCCAAATGACGAAAACCAATTGAATATGTTAAGTATTGGCTGAGATAAGACCATCTGAATGAATACTTTTCCTATAGGAACTCAGTGTTATATGCTCTGGCTCCTAATAACTATGAAGAAAAAATTGAGAAATTCTAAAAATAGATTGTTATGACGTCACAGCTTTGGTACTCTATGTACTCACAACTCCAACGAGACTCCAAACTGCTGTGTAGGAAGTGTCTCTTTAGTAGGAACTTGACCGTCTGTGCTGGTTGCAGATTTTGGAGAAGCAGTTTGTTTGGCCTTGTAATAAGCAACCAACTGATCATCATGACTATTAAAAATATAGAGAAAAAAAGGTTTAAGTTTATCATAACCCTCATAATGGGCATTTACATGTGTTGTACCGGTAGTCAAAATGGCATTTGCCTTTAAAGGGATCCGGTATAAACTTTGTCTCGGATTCTGAAACAAAATTCTGGATTTAGCTCATGCTGTAATGATAATTATAAACCTTTAGGTCAGTCAGGAACCCCATGACTTTTACAAGCCCATCGCCTGTCTGATTATCAAGATATTTATGATTGGAATTACACACTACAGTCTATTAGGGAAAACGAGTACCATACACATGTGGTAAAACCACTCACTCAAAGATTGTTAGTTTTTCGAGGCACTTCTTGATCGTTTTGAAGTGCAATTTTTTTAGGGCTTCAATATTACACCCTTTCACAGACACTGATAACACATAGGGTCGTGTATCTCAGATTTAACATTGTTAAACGATCCCTTTAATAGCGAATGCAAATTATGCTACCTGCTCAATCATGTATGTGAGACTTCCCTTGTGATTAATGCTTCATAAGTTCATATGAAAGAAGGGAATATTAGATTTTGAATGATGTGTATATTTAGCAATTATTAAAGGGCAATCCTACCCTCGTAATAAGTTGATTCGTATGAAAGCAGAAAAAATAACAGATACAGAATGACAAAAGTTTAAAATTAATCGGACCAATAGTTATGAATGGAAGTTATGAGGAAGTTATGAATGTTTGAAATATGAGATCACTAAGTCTTGCGAATCTCAAATTGGTAGTTTGGTCAGTGGATTGTGACGTAGGACGTGGATAACTCTCCCATTTGCCGTGTACAAAAATATCACTAATTTCTGTTTTTCTTGAAATTTCCTTCTCCCTTGGGGCTCTATTCCAAATATATTATAGATATCATATTATTATACGTCCTCTATAAAAGAATACACCCTCCTTTATATAGCCATGATTTTTGACAAATTTAATTTATAATCATTTTACATGTTGGACCAGATGGGCAAGTAGTCCGGCACTACATCACATTGACATTGTACCGCTTCAGCCAATTTGAAGTGTCCATATGTATAGTGATCACAACTTTCAAAAATCCATAACTTTCTTAAATGTATATTTAGTCAGATTTAATTAAAGCTTTCATCAGTTTGCTTCTCTGATTTTTCTGCTTTCTTTTTTAGAGTAGTTGTCTATTTGGGTTGGATTTTCCTTTAATTCTACATCATTTTTAGCCATAATGACCCAAAGGTAACTGTCATCCGCTTCTGACACTGCCACTTCAGGCTTTTGAAATTAGTCATGTGTGACTTCTTGATCCTGATTTTGGTGTCATATGAAAAAAGAGAAATTGAGCTTTACAATCAATGCAATGAAGACAGAATGCTTAAAGATAAGGTTGAGTTCTAGTCTCACGATTACATTGTAAAAGAAACGGTGTGGATTTGATTAAAAAACGTTGATCATGTAGCACATACTGCAAGGTTCTGGAGTCATTAAAATGATAAGAAATTTGGCCCAGTCTTGGTAAATTAACAAGCACTGTACACAGAAAGGTGTATATGGGTCTACACAAACATGTGGCATAAAAGTTGGGCCTCATTTTTAAGCTGTTACTTGACATATTTAGAATATGAAGGCATTTGAAGAGCCATGCTTTTCAGGGAACATTTTTCCTTTGATGTTCTTTCATACTTGCATAATAACAATAATAGCGCTCACAAATTATTTTGTTACCTATGCCCAATACTCAACCTTCTCGTTAAAGCCCAACTGCACCACTTATGGCTTCTTGCGCCCTCTATATAGCAAACAATGCCTAATCGGTACCTGTCGGTCCCCCATGATCCCCTTTTTTTATGTTTAATAATCGAGAGCTGCTTTGATGAGATAACATGTCAGTGACCTTGCAGGGAGGTCTAATCCCCCTGGTCAACCTAGTACAGACAGGCTTTAAGTGGGATCCTGGGATCAAAGCCATGACCTTTGCATCTTCAGTCGAGTGTTCTATACAGCACCTGACAAAGCACCTCGACCTGAAGTGGCTCAGGGTCTACCAGTATATATAATAGGGACTTTAAGATTCTGCATGACGAGAACATGGACTGCCCTTTTAAAGGGATCCGGTAACTTTGTCTTAGATCCTTTAGAAATAATCCTTGATTTAGCTCATGCTGCAATGATAATTATAAACCTTTAGGTCAGTCAGGAACTCTATGACTTGTACAAGCCTGTCTGATTATCAAGATAATTATTAATGATTGGAATTACAAATTTTGAAAACCGTTCACCGAACGGTTTTTATAACACTACAGTCTATTGGGGAAAATGAGTATGGTAAAACCGGTCACTCAAAGATTTTTACTTTTTTGAGGCACTTCTTGATCATTTTGAAGCGCAATTTTTTTTTAGGGCTTCAATATTACACCATATCACAGACACTGGTAACATGTAGGAGCGTGTATCTCAGATTTTACATTGTAAAACGATCCCTTTAAGGCAATGTGACGTCCTTTTAAGGCACTGGCAGTGACGTCACATTGCCTAAAAAAGGGCAGTCCACGTTCTCGTCATGCAAAATCTAAAAGTCCCTTTAATCTCCAATGTTGACATAAATACCTTTGGATAACTGCAGGAATCTCAACTTTCTTCATATCAATTGTTTCCCCAAGCTCTGACAGGAAGTGGATGTATGTAACCTTGCGACTGAATTTCACACTGACGATGTGGCGGAAAATGCCCCAAATCATCTTAACAATTTGAGATGGATGCACAATGTACAAGGCCTTCAAGTTCTTCTTGTACCTACAAACATAAAGGATACAAAAGGGTGCATAAATCAGCTTCAAGTTTAACATATGTTCTTTTATATTGTACTCTCCTCTTGCTTTTGACCAATTTCAACTCTTTTTTCATAAGGGGACTTTCTTTACAAGACCTGGGACGTGTTTCACAAAGCCTTTTTTCAATGACAAATGACAAAAATCAGTGACAAATCTGCTGATAACCAATCAGAAGCAAGTATTTCAGTAGCTTTTAACAAAAACTGTCATTTGTTGCTGATGACAAGTTTTGTGGAATGCCCCCTGCTTGGTCTTTTATGGTACCCTTGATTCCATGTAAAATGATGTGAATTTGTGCTGTATTTCTGATTTATATATGCGTTTATTGGAATTACATTAAATTAAACTTTAACTAGAACTTGAAAAAATATATATGCGTGCATAAATATGCAATGCATTCACAAATCGCTGACAAATGTGGAGAATAATTATTTTGCAACTGACCTTTTCTGCACGTTATAACGTGTACAAAAGTGAATTTGATGCATGGGGGTTGTTATAACGTGTACAAAAGTGAATTTCACGCATGAGGGTCAAATGAAGCGTAAATGTAGGTGAGTTTTGTCATCCCTCTGGATCCAAATATGGCCGAAAGTATTCTTGAAGTGTATGTAAAGTACACGTATGTAAAGTATATGTAAAGTATATATGTGTACATGTATGCATGCCTGTAATTTGAATGAATCCAATGATTTTTTTTTTGGTACCTGGCTGCTAAGAAAGCATGTGTATGTACATTGTACATGTATGCATGCTTGTAATGTGAATGAATTAAATCTCGTATTATTTGTTTACCCGACTGCTATTATGTGTATGCTTGTAAGAAAACAACAATTTCTTGTGTACATAGTTGCTATTGATATCAATCGCCAATGATTTGCAATTAATCGCAACTGTTTATAAGACAGGGCCCCAGGTATGAAGGTATGAACAGTATGAAATTGCTGTATGTTTTAACCATCAAGTCGCACGCAAGGGCGCCTCAAAATTAAAGTCCCATAACAAATAGCAATTTATATATGGTGAAAACTGTGATGAAAAAGTTATACTAGTGAAAGCTGTGATGCCAGAAAAATATAGTATCATCCACCTGTCTCTCATAGCCACCAATGCAAAGCATGTACACAACATGATACCAGCACAAGAGAGGGGACCATGATCACACCCTGACTACACATCAAATAAACTATACAGTGCGTCCCAGAAAAAACGTAACCGAGAATTATCAATGTTTTATCATAACTTAATCACAATTATAATTGACAAATGACACATATTTGGAAAGCTTAGATCCTCCTCTTTCATTTGATGCAACTCATATGATGCATGTATTTCAAGCATTTATTAATTATAAATGTGACTAAGTTATGATAAATCATAGATAATTCTTGGTTTCGTTTTTTCTGGGACGCACTGTATATTTACATTCTAAAGTAGTTTCTCGATCTCCAGTTTGTACTTAACAACAAATGAGATTTAAAAAAAAGCTAAATGAGCCCAAGTATCAGTTGACATACATTGTACATGTACCTGTATCTCTTTGAAATTAAATCATAGACTATTAAAACCAAAGATAATTCTATAATAAACCTATACATTCATTGCCCTGTGTTTTACTGTTACACCACAATAACCTACACGAGACCTACACAGGCTACACTGTACCCAAGACAGGTTTCCAAAAGACTGGCCCATAACACTAGAGAACCTCTTGACACAAAAAACAGACTGAGTATCCTAAAAAATCAGATTTTGAAGAGAAAAATCAGATTTTCACAAAAACTTGACACTACTACTGGCCCGTTGGCCTCGGGCCAGTAAAATTTCAGAAAAATGTTTTACTGGTAAGTACGGTCAAGTAAAATGTTTGCTCTTTCATTAAAATTTAATGAGAAAATTGAAAAGCAAAGTTTTTTTTGGGGGGGGGGTTGCAGGGGTTTACTTGTATGTTTCTCTGTGATTCAGCTGTTTTTATGGGTTTTATGGGTTAAAAAATAAAAAATTAAAAAAAATGATATGGGATATCGTATTTCACTCTTATTATCGTACTAAATACGATTTAATCGTACTGGTTGGCATCTCTGTAACACCCAGTTGGTCCAATCTTCATTTCGTCCAAGCATCACTTGGACTGATATCTACATGTAGTAGGGCCAATGTCCATTTTGCTATTCGGTCTTATTGCCACTTTGTCCAATCAATATTTTTGCCACTTGGTCCATTACCGCGTTGGTCCAATTGCCATTTTGCATTAAATCAAATGGTCTAAACCCATTTAGTCAAATACCAATTTGGTCCAAGAATCATTTCATCCATAACTCGTTTGTCTTGATCTAGTTGATTTCATTTGGTTCAATAGCAATTTCTTCTAATATGGTCAATTATAACATCGTCTAGTTACCATCTGGTCTGAATACCGTTTAGGCCAAATAAAAATCAATCATGTTTAGCGTCCTGCCTTTTTGAAAAATAGGAAGGAGGAGGCCCCTTTTTCTTTTCTTTTTTTTTCTAAAAATGGCCCCTCGGTACATTTTTCCAGACAGTCTGGCTATTTTTCAAGATGGCCGCCTGTGTTTTTCTTCTTTAAAAACAAAAATCAGAAATAGATAATTATAGCAGTATTTTTTTAATGTTCTAATTCATTGAAGAAAAACAAATTATATCCACATTTTTAAAGCTCTGCTATTCAGTGGATCCCTCCATTTCCACAGGTTTATCTTAACAAAACTTTAAAAAAAAAAAATGCTGGATATTTATGTACATGTATACTTTTTATTTCATAACTTTAAACTACAGTATGTAAATGTATTATATAGGTTTCCCGCCCAATTTCATCAGAGTTGCATCCGATTTAACGATGCGATCATTCAATTTTGAGCGAATTTGAATGATCACCGAGATCAACATTCAAAAGCCTAACTTGTTCATTCAATTTAATTGTATTAGCATGCGATTTCATGGTTTTTTCACATAAACGTGCAAAAAGCGCGTTCAAATTCAAAATGCACGTTTATGCATTCAACTTCGCACCTGCACCGCCCTGATGAACGTTAAGGTGTTCAAATTCACGAATAGGCAAGCATTTATAGCATTTGGGAATTCATTTTCTTTTGTTTAATACTGTTTATGTTCTTTGCAATCTGCATTTGTTTGAATAAATTTTGCAAACTGTATGTACCTTGAAATGGGACCTTTGCCTTATATTGAAATATCTCATTCCTCTGACAAACCGTCATCGAAGCAAGAGCTCGTACAACTCATTACATTAACTATGGCGGCGGCGCGAGGAGAGTACATGGATATCTCGAATACGGACAGAGCTAGGTTGGCTGAAGCATTTGACAACCAGCAAGATTACCTAGAGCTGGCCGACACTCTGGGAATAAACAGATCTACGGCTAGGTCGATTGTGGCGACGTATGTGGACACAGGGAGGGTCCAAAAGCTACCAAGGGGTGGGGCCCGAAATGTGAAAATGGATGTGGACATGCGCAACCATTTGGAGAACATCATAGATGCAAACCCACTCCTAACGCTACGACAAATGAAGGAGAGTCTTGCGCACAACCTCCCTGACAAGCCCGCAGTCTCAACATCATCAGTAGCCAGGGCACTGGATGGAATGATGTTGACACTGAAAATGGCAGAGGATGTTCCAGATGCCAGGAACGCCCCAAGGGTAGTAGAACAGCGACTGGAGTATGCTGAATGGTTCCTCGAACACGGCGTTGTGGGAAACTGTGTATTTATCGATGAAACAGGGTACAACGTCTGGACCAGGCGTACTCGTGGGAGGGCTCCACGGGGTGTGCCGGCTAGGAGGGTGGTGCACGGCCAGCGAGGTCGCAATTGCAACGTGACATTTGCAGTGTCCGTTGCCATCGGTCTTGTCCACCACAGAATCGCATTCGAAACCGTTACCAGGGACGTTACCAGGGAGAGGTTCGAGGACTTCCTTGCTGAAACCGTCGCGGAATGCAACCAGATGTTCCCGGCCGATGAACCCATCTACCTCATCTATGACAATGCCAGACCTCATGTCCGCGCCCAGCTGCCCGACGGAGCCAATCCCATCATCCAGACGAAGCGACTCCCTCCCTATTCCCCATTCCTCAACATGACAGAAATGGCTCACTCCGCCTTTAAGGCCGCCGTGAAGAGGACCTTGGCACAGCCAGCGTGGCAGCTTTGTGTTGGGGACAGGCAGGCAGCTCAAGACGCAGGAATCAACCTACAGCAATGGCGTTGTGACATCCTCAGAGATGCTGCTCTCCAGAACATTGACGCCATTACACCCGGAAAGTGTACACAATGGTACAATCACTCTCAGACATACTTGCCAAGGTGCCTGGCGAGTCAACACATTGACGGGTGAAGAGACTGAGAGACTGTACATCAATTATTATGAATAATTATGTAAAGAAAGAATGTCCCAATGTATCCAACCCCAAACGTGACACAAAGCACAATCTATTACAAAAATATACATACTACACTTACATGTACAAAAATGATGAGTTATAGCGATTTTGTATTTGGAAATTAAGTTAAAAACTGGTAGTGAAGCTTAGAAAGAAAATAAATATATAAAATATGATTAAAATAAACATTATGAAACTTGAAAAATGAAAATGAAATTATATGATTAAAAACAGTTTAAAAAACGTAAATATGACGTGAAAGAAAGACAGAACTTGTTTATGTTAATTTAATTCGAACGTTCAAACTGCGAAAGTGTGTGCCCATAAATGAAATTGAAATTGGTATTGAGGACGAAACTGAACGTCTATCCAGCAGGCACGAAATTGAATGACAACTAAATTGAACGGACTTCTCTCTAAACTGAATGAAATAAAATTTAAAAGGAATGAGATAAAACGAAATTGAATACTCAAAGAATGAAAATGAACCATGAGAGCAGAGAGTTGACGAAAATCGTTCGAACTTGAACGTCTATTCATGAATTCGAGTGCAACTCTGATGAAATTGGGCGGGAAAACCTATATTATTGAATGTTGAATTGTATAACTGATTTCTTGTCAAAATTACTGTTCTGTTGGAAATGAAAAATAAAACTGAACTGAACTTAACTCATACATCCTAATCAAACCTGTCTTGGGTAGGTTAGGGTTACCAAATCAAAACCTTCCTCAAAATATATACCAAGAACAAAACCTGTTCTTTCATAAATTATCTTTTGATGATCACAAATTGAACAAAGGCAATCCTTGTAAAGTGTGGACTTTGCATTTTTTCACAAAAGCGGCTTTGGTTCACTCAAGCATAAAATATCTCCAGATATTTTGGTGTGATTCAATAGACCATTTTTGTAATGTAACCAAATTTAATGCACACAAGTCTTTGGAAGTGCCTCGATACAAATTATTTCATTCACCTGATAAGAATAATAGTAATTCAATAGTCAGAATGCGAACTGCATATATCAAGTGTTGCTAGGTAGGTCAAGCCATAATGTTTGTCCAACCTGGCAACAACTAATTTATGCAGTTTGGATTATGTCTATTGAAATACTATTATTCTTACCAGGTGAATGAAATAATTTGTATTGAGGCACTTCACAAAGACTTATGCATTAAATTTGGTTACATTACGAAAATGGCCTATTGGTAGAGATCCTGAGCTTTCCATATTTACATGTATGAAAACATTTACATATATTTATATGTCACATCTACTTCAAACTTTAGTTATGTATCACTACTAACCAATGATTGTAGACTAGAAGTAGATTGTAGCTATTTAAAGTCACATTTGCAATTTCTTTTCATTCTCAATTTTTTTTAATGAAAATTCTATATTCTTTAAAAAAAAAAAATTGATATTTTGTTACGTTGTCTAAAGTTGCATTTACACGGCAAGCTAAAACACTTTTTTTTCACATTCAGGGACCCGTTTCACAAAGCCTTTTTGCAATGACAAATTACAAAAATCAGTGACAAATCTGTTGATAACCAATCAGAAGCAAGGATATCAGTAGCTTATATCAAAAACTGTCATTTGTCACTGATGACAAGTTTTGTGAAACACCCCCCTGAATTATCAAACACTGACAATTTCTTAATGGCTTTTTTCAAGTAGTGTAAATGGTACAGTACATGTAGTTTTTAAAAAAAACGATAGATTTTTCAAATTGGTTTTTCTGCAATATAAATATGTTAAATTCATAGACCATTATCCTGTTTTGCTGAACACACAAAGCTGACAATATCTAAAACCCAACATAAACTCTACCACATGGATGGCAAACAAATCAAAATCAAGCAAAATATTAGACATACTTCAAGAACTTTCCCAAATTACAAAAAAAGGCAAAAGTCTATTTATTTCTTTTTTTAAGAAAAGGAAGAGCGTATTTTTACCTTGTATCGGCATGACTAGTAAAGATACAAAACATACATGTATGTTTTATGAAATACTCTCGAGGGACAAAATTCATCCGAGTTGAAAATTTACTGTAATTAATAAACAGCTTTAGAGCATTAACATTAAAGGTAATTACCACAGAAGGAAAAAAAGCTTGATTTTCAGTGTTGATTTGTTCCTCAAATCAAATCAAAATCAAATTGAATCATGGTCGATAGGTTTTGAAGAAAAAAAGGAGTGTAATCAAGTATTTTAAAAAAATGAAATAAATAAAACAAATAAACACACAACTAGAGTTGAAAGCAAAAATATTAAAATAAATAAATAAATAGTTAATGAATGAATGAGAAAAATAAATGTCAAACTAATTACTAAATAAAGCAATAGATAACTATAAATAAATAAATAAATTCAATAAAATACACAAATCAATAACAAATTAGTGTTTGACATGTACATGTACTTGTATAGCAGGTGGGCTGGACGAGAACTAACTTACATCGTCAAAATTTCACCTTAAACCATTTATGATTTTTTTTTGTTTTAATAGGGAAAGTCCATCCTGATATTTTTATTGTTTTTAAAGAAGCAGAAGTTTTTTTTACAGCGACATATATTATAAGCAAAAAGTTTGAGCAAGTTGAATACAAAATAAGAAAGTTATATGTATTTTTGAAGTGTTCAATGAGACACAAACTAGGAACTCCATGATGTACACGTACATGTACACATGTTTCTATTATAGTCATCTCTTAATTTCTATTTGCTTAAAATTGTCATAAATTTCTATTTAATATATATTGGTGAAGGAACATCTTTGTAACATACTGTGTCTTGTAAAATCATATTCCCTATTATTAAAATTTAGGGTACATCTATCATTAAAAGTTTTCTTTAGAGTACCAGTAATTTTTTTCTTCAAATTTTGAGTATAAAGAAAGTGGGGGAGGATACATGTACATGTAGGTCACTGAGAAACACATTTTTGTATCATCAATTTCAACTTCAAAGAGAAACAATGTTTTATTTTTTTAATAATAATTTCCTCAAAGTTTAATTGATCTTTTTTGGTAACTATTCTGCTTTTCAACAAATCAACTTAATTGTTCAGATGAGAGAAAATGGTGTTAAGGTAATGACTTCAATGCTAGATGTGCAATTAAAGATAATCTGAAAGTTTGAATGAAAACAGACCATTATTAATGATAAAAATTGGTAGCAAATGATCTGATCAACTTAATTGTTCAGATGAGAGTGCTAAGGAAATGACTTCAAAGCTAGATGTACAATTAAAGATAATCTAAAAGTTTGAGTGAAAACAGACCATTATTAATAATAAAAATTGGTAACAAATGATCTGATTGATTCCTAAATTCTCCCAACTATATTATTATAATTTTATTGAATTTTAGATGAATGTAAATCGTCATAAAGCAATGATTGGCTCCATACCATTCATAACATTTAAGTGTTGAAACATTTTAAAAGCCTGTTTTATGTTTTATTTTCATGGAAAAAATGGTTGGAAAAATTCAAAAAAGGATTGGGAGAGACAGAATTTACGGTTAGAGGGGGTAACACATTGAAAACCATAAATATCTTTTTGATTCGAGAATTTTTTCAGGATTTTCTGCAAGTTTAATAGAGGGTTAGTACAATAGAAGAAGTTTAACTAGTAACATTTCATACAAAAATTATACATTTTTTCATCAACCTTCAACAATGTTACCAGTTCAATTTAAAGATAAAGGCCAGTTATGGTCATGCGATTGCATTGTGAAAGAAACGTTGTGGAATCGATCAGAAAAGGTTGACCATCTAGCATAAAAGTATTGGCGTGTACTGCAAGGTTCTGGAATCATCAAAATGATTTGGCCCAGTATTGGTAAAGCTACAAGCACTACACAGAAAGATGTACAGTATATGGGACTAGACACATGTGCGCGACACATGCATTACATGTATCTATCAGGTCCAAGTAGATATAACATTTTACCAAATATATCAATTAGTAGGCGGTTTCTCGGCAAAATTTGTATGATCACGTATTAGTCAAAACATATTCTTTCACATTATTGGTTATAAGAGCTTCCATTTCATTTTTGAGAGTGGGGCCTTTCCAAAACTGGTCTTTACCTTTAATATCAGGTTGGACTTTCCCTTAACCCGTTGACTACTGAATTGTATAGGTCCCATAGGCTTAACACAGGGACCACCAGGTTCCCGTAAGCAAAGGGTTAAATTTGTGTGCCCATGTCATTGACTACACTGTACAATCAAAACAAAGTAATTTTCAATGCACTTACTTTCTCTCCAGATTTTTGTATGCCTCGACCAAGAATTTCCATGAGGGCCTGTTCTGTCTGGTCAAGCCATACTGGAAGATCACCAGGCTATAGTCATTCTCCACATACTTATTTAAGGTGTCCTTCATGTACCTGTTGTCATGGTTATAAATGATTAATCAGCCATTGAGTGGGCAACTTGCAAACTTTTCTACACAGAAAGTAAATGTTCTCACAAACACTTGTCCTACGCATGCAAATCAATAGTATGTCACAAAATTAATTTCCTAGTAACATAAAACCCGCCCCCCCCCCCCCCCCCACTCAGTGTTATTAAGGGTACGCATATGCATGTTCCCTCCTTTTGAAAACACCCCCCAAGTCCGGTGTGTAAAACGGGCTTTTGTGTACTACAAGCCAGACTTTGGTGCGTGAAAAGTACCCCTTTACCGGACATTTTGGTAACACGCATGGTATCCCTCCGATCACGGAGTTGGGGGGGGGCCGGGGATAAAACACTAGTAATAAAAATGACTTTTCCCAGGGTATGCTGTCAGGCATGTTTATACAGACGAGACTGGGTCGGTGTGAGGCCAGCATGGCAAGATGGGGCTATGCCCATGAAGATGATACTCTCTGCGACTGCTGAGAGACTCAGACGATGGACCACATCTTGCAGTGCGGCGAACGGGTTGCACAGATGAAGACCTGGCCCTTGTTAATGAGACGGCCATCGCAGCAATCGGGCGATGGCAGAACTTAATCTAATGTAATTTAATTAAGGAACTTTAAATAACTATCTTGATCTAAAGAGACACGAACGAAGGATATGGATTATAAAGGATACCGGTACACATGTGTACACTTGAATTATCAAACTGGCTTGAAGGCTGACGTTTGACATTTCGTTCAACTCTTGCTTCCCTGATGTCACTGTATACTGTTAGGAACAGACTAGGTATTTTCAATCGAACATTGCTCCCAGGAAAAAAAAAAAAATTTATTTTTCGGGGGCTACTTTTCAACCTTGCCTGCATGAAAATAACATTCTAAAATTTGTTTTGCATTGAACTCTATGCTAATTTAAGTACGCTCTTTTCTGATTTTCGGGGGCTATTTCGCCCTAAACCCCCGTGTATTTTTTTCACTGATTACTCCACAAAGAAAAGGGTGAGAACCCCCGTCGTTCTCAGTGGATCATTCTTTATAACTTAACGGTTTATGAAAACGTAAAAGCTTAAAAGTAGGACGGTACCGTATGAACATAACCAATGCACTCACCCAAGTAATCTCATCTGGTTGTAAGACTTGCTGGGAGGAAATCGGCTGCAATTGATAAAGATCAGCTTTCTCCCTGCGCTATCGTCTCCTACATTTAGCACACACAAAAAAGGATAATTAATTATGACAATTATAATCTGGATTTATATAGTATTTATTACAAATACCGCCTCTAATGCAGGCATAACAGTGAAGCCTGGACCCACCCTCTTCAGAGATTGCCAAATATCAACATTGACTCGATGCCGAAGCTTCAGCTCAAGACCATCAATACATTTGTTGATGTAGTCTTAACGTTCTGTTTAAATAATTGGGTGAAGCTTTCCAATAAAGTTGATAAAAGGTGTGAAGCTTTGCAAGTAATTTGTGTTTTCTGCTGATACTACATCGGTTGTGTCGAAAATATGTCAAAGTCGTGGCGTTTCAACAACTACTGTATACGGTAAGCTGTTATTTTTATCGTACAGATATTTTTTCGCGAATGGCAGGCTAAGCGACATTTTCGCAAGTCTTTGCTTTCGCGAATGATACTACCTCTGCACAGTCTGCAGTACTTCCGTAAACACTACACTGCCTACACTGCCTACACTCCATGCTACAGCTTCACCTATGGAAAAACATGTAGCTCAAAGATGAAACCTGGACGAACACATTTGCCGATTGAGTGATACTTTGCCTATGTTTTTTGTAAAGCAAATGAAGTGGTGGTGAAATCCTGACCTTATAAATAATTGGCTCAGGTGAAAAAAGATGATGACTTGACGAGGGTGGGTCCTTGCTCCAAATTGACGCCTGCATAAGCACTTTACAGTTATTATTGCCCATGGTCATCAGATTCATTCATGCACAATGTGCACCATCTCCACCAGTATTCCTACCAGATGGACACAGTGGGGTCTAATATGGCATTTAATAACACAAATGATTTTGTCATCCTTCCAGTTTCCCATTTCTCTCCTGGGTATGGAGTGGTAAATATAGATTAATACCTTGCCAAAGAGCTTAGTGCCTTGTCTGGGATCGAGCCCTTGACCTTTTCATTTCAAGTCAAGTGCTAGCTTAAACAAGTGGACTACGACGCCTCTACAAAAAACTTCCCAATTGTCAACTAACATAATACTACTTACTCTCCCAATCATTTCAAAATAAATCTCAATTACAAAACAGTTGAATGCAGACAGATCAGCATAAGCTGAAATGAAAGAACAGGAACAAAATTAAGAATATTTTACTTCTGCATGAGATAACAGAAGGAAAGCAAAGGCCTACATGTTATACATGTACATAATGTTAGTTTTCGGCATTCTGAAAAGTTATCCAAGGTGACAGCATTGGTTTGATGGTTTGGTGTACCCGACTGTTAAGAAAGCATGTGTATGTTTGTAAAGTTAAACAACCAGGGGACAGACAGCTTTAAGTCCTCTCCAAGGGACCTGGTAATGAGGATTAATGCCTTACCAAAGCGCACTAGCACATCAACTTGGTTTTGAACCAGGGACCTCCCGGTTATGAGACCCCTGGTCTACCAATGAGCCATCGAGTAACGTCTGCATCGACGGCTCTAGGTGTATGATACCCAGTTATTATGCAACACTCTATACCATGTCATGCAGGTCAGTAGGGCCGGTATTCAATTCAATACTAAGATTAAGTCAGAAATTTTGCCAAGTATTTATCTAAGCTGAAGACTACCGGTAAGTTAAAATAAGATACTCAAATTTCAAACTTAAGTATTGAATTGAATACGGGCCCAATTATACAAGCCACTCTGACATGACATTTTCCTTTTAAAGGGAGGCTTTACTACTTCAGCAAGAAGAGATTAGACCACCCAGTGAGCCATCGAGGTCACTGTGACAGGTGGCTATCTCATTAACTCAGCTCTCATTTAACATAAGAAAAAGAGGATCATGGGGGACCAACAGGCACCGATTTGGGAAGTTTTCTATATAGAGGGAGCAAGTAGCTACAAGTAGGACAGTGTGCCTTTAAGCTGGTTAGAGAAACCCAGAAGACCTACCTCCAACTTGAATGATATTATGTTTGGCTATGTCTTCATAGTTATCAGGTTCCATTGCTTGATCTGCCGTGGCTTCTGTCACCCCTCTCTGCTCCTCAGGCTGATCCACCCCCAATGTTGCAATGGAATCATCCGATGGAGACTGAAGTTCTACATGCAAGGGGAGAATAGTCGAGCCATATTAAACAATTTGGTATAAACCTTGAATAGCATTTTGTCAAGTGTGGTGACAGTGGTGTATAAAAATAATTTTTTTTTTTTTTCACGACTGTAATAGCCACCAATGTAATAATAAGCACACAAATTCAGCAAACTCTCTGAGCATCTCTATTCAAGTACATTAAACTTATCGCTATTGTCGTAAAGTCAGCATAAAAAGATATGGCAATGCAAAATCAGACATTTTAGCGTACATCGCATGTGTACCAAGAAATTGGGTATCCGGACGGCTTGTGACGTACCGGAGTCCAGACAGTTGATTTTCAAGAATATGAAGAAATTAATTTGCAATGTAGACAGAAAAGGACAAATATTTACGATAGTTGGCATGGTTGGTGCTGACATAGAAATAGCGCGCCTGCATGTGTGAAGGATCTGAGACATTACCGTAGATAACTCTACACAGGCGCGCGCCCGCCCGCAACCCACCATCGGTATGCACTTGTATTTTGCAGCGGTTTGCCGTGAAACCTGTGAAAAAATGTATATTAATATCAATGTTTTCCCAAAAAATTCTCCAAAAATAACAAGAAAATTGACAAGAAAAACAGGTAATAAATATAACAACTTATGAAGTTATCTACCGTAATGAGAATCTGGGATATTACAGTATATTACTTCACACAGGCGTGCGCCCGCCCGCTAATCCACCATCAGTATGCACAGTATTCTGCAGCGGTTTGCCATGAAACCTGAGAAAATGTATATTGTTCTTCCGAAAAATACTCCAAAAATAACAAGAAAATTGACACGAAACAGGTAATAAACATAACAATAGGGTGTCTGAACGATTTTTCAATTTTCAATTTGGGATCGTTTTTCACTATTTTTGTTTGATATTTGAATTAAAAATGTAATCAGAATAATATATTTCAAATTTCAAGTCTCACCGATGTTTCTATCAAAAGATACAGCCCCTTCGAAACGCTGAAATATTCATAGCATTTTGCTCAGAATCGACGAAAAAGACGTACACGCAAAGTTATGTTGTTTTGCTAAATTCAGCCAAACAGCTGTATCGCGCGATATGCAAGCGTATGCATACATGTAGCGTACGCATGTCATGCGCAACTTGCAGCTTGAGCCACGCTGTCTCTGCGATACGTGCCATTGACTAGTATGGCTAGCCATTCGCGCCATGGAACCCGGAAGTGAATACACGTTATAGTCAATGGCAATATCGCGGAGTCTCCGCGATATTGCCATTGACTATAACGTGTATTCACTTCCAGGGTTTATGGCGCGAACGGCTATCCATACTTTCATTCACTATATGCGCAGATGTTACGCGATGTAACCATGGTTTGGACTGAGCGGAGCTCACGCCTCCCTAATTAGCTGATTCCAAAAATGTGGGAAGGGTATTTTCAAACTGTTAGAACAAATGATCCCTTGGGGCTAGCGAAAAAAAAAGCACCTCGATATTATCCTTACGTCTAGCCCTGCTTAAGCCGCGGGGGCGCAGCTCAGGAAAGTGGCAAATTTTGGAGCTAGGATGCAAACAACATTTCAATCGCTGTTTTGACCAAGATATTTTTAGAATTCTGGGGGTGGCCCCCTATGGGGAATATGGAGAAAAACCTGCTCTTTCATACGACACCTCATTTATTGAGTTTCACCTTCAGGATCATTTGTTTGAATTTCAAATTTTTTCATAAAATCATTGACCAATTTTGCATGGTCACGTAGGGATGCGTATAATCTCTATGGGAAGGGTTTTAGCACACAACATTGGGTGCGCGATCAGACACCTTATTAAAGGTAAAGACCAGTTATGGTCATGCAATTGCATTGTGAAAGAAACGTTGTGAAATCGATCAGAAAATGTTGATTATCTAGCATCTAGCATCTGCAAGGTTCTGGAATCATCAAAATGATAAGAAATTTGGCCCATTTTCCGTAAAGTTACAAGCACTATACACGGAAAGATGTTTATGGGACTACCCTATATCTCTCACAGACCATGAGAGAAACAAATTTACCAAATATATGAATTAGTAGGCGGTTTCCCTGCAAATTTGTTATCATCATGTATTAGTCATTCTTTCACATGATTGGTAATAAGCTTCCATTTCATTTTTTGAAATTGGGGCGTTTCCAATACTGGTCTTTACCTTTAACAGTTAATGAATATTTACTTCATTTTGGGTATTTTAGTAGGGTAACTCCACGCCGGAGTTACGGGTCATATTTTTGATACCTTACTGAACAAGCGCCTGTTTTAATAGGGTATCTCCACGCCCGAGTTATGTGTCAAATTTTGGATACGTTTCTGAAGAAGCGCGCCAAAAAAGTAAGATGATTTGTTTACATCATTCTTCACCAGTTCACACAGGTAAATTGATCCAAATTAAGGCTAGCTCTAGGTGATATCAATATGATATATCATATTAATAATCACCCAGCCCTTAAACCAGGCTTAACTTTTTAAAAAATTAAGTTAAGTTGTTAAGTTTAAAATAATAAGTCTTAAGTTAAGGCTAGCTAGGTCATCCGTCAAACTCACTCAACACTTTATGTGCATCATCCACAGCGCCACCAAATTCTTCCTCTGTGTCTAACGTAGCTTCGATGTCCGCCCCATCTTCATTCTCAAAAGACTGACCGACAATGTCACCTTCTTTGATTGTGTCTCTGGGCCCATCCCCACTCCCATAAGCTTCCTCAACAACAGGTTTCTCTGTGACAGTGTCCGCCATGTTTATATACAGCAAAACACAGTCTATTATTGAATACCGTACGTACATGTACGTACGCATCCCCGATACGTAATACGTACTGAATGTACGTTAACGTCTACGGCATAGGGAACGTGTATTGGATACAACGCCAGATCTGGCATAATTTTTACCATTTTAGCATTTGGCATTAATATGCCTGGCATAATTTGAGCTTTTTAAGCATAATTTCAATACATTTTCCAACATATTCCCTAAAAATAATTGGACCCAACAAAATATAATTGCTTCTTACACCCCCTCCCCCCCCCCCCCCCCCCCCCCCCCCCCCGCTTATTCAGCGGCCCTGGCTGAGTCGGCGCAAAATATTTCCTAAAAATATTGGACCCCCCCTCCCTCCCCCCCCCCCCAAAAAAACTCTCCTCACTCGCTTCTTCGAAGATGATCCCGGCCTGTTAATTATCGGCGGAGCTGGAGGAGCTATGAGTCTTTCAAAGTGGGGGAGGGGGGGGGGGGGCACCAACATAAAGGAACCTTACACAGGGGTATACCTCGATCAAAGCGTTATAGCAAATGTCCTACATCAGAGCCCCCCCCCCCCCCACTTTTCAAGTGCCCCCAAAAGTGCCACCTTTACCTTGAAAAGTGCCCCTATTAATGTGTAAGAGTGCCCCCTCCCTTTTTTTTTACCTCTGATAAGTGTCTCTTTTCCCTTTGCAATTATAGTGTCCATTTTCCATTCCCATAAGTAGCTATAGCGACCCTTGTTAATCTCTATAGTAACTGCCCCTTTTCACTTCAGATAATTTCCCCTATTCAAATCTGAGAGATACTAGTTTTACTTTGACAGTGTCCCTTCCCCTCCTGATAAGTGCTCTTTTCGTCTCTGACGAGTGTCCTTTTCACCTCTAATAACTGCCCCTTTTATGTTAACATGTGCCCCCTTTCCTTTCTAATAAATGCTCTTTTTTCTTCTTATAAATGCCCCTTCCCCTTCTCATAATTACCCCCTTTTCATCTCTGATAAGTGCCCCGTTCATTTTAACATGTGCCTTAACAAGAGCCCCCATACGTGCCCCCCTTCTCGTAAAAGTCTCCTTTTACCTCCGATCAATGCCCCTATTCAAATCTGATCGGTGCCCGTTCTTTCATGCACATTTTCCTTCGTTAAGTGCCCCTTTTTCTTTCTTATATAAGTGCCCCTTTCTTTCTCATAAGTGCCCCACATCACACAACTGAAAAGAATGACGCTTAAGCAATATCTTGTAAGGTGTATATTGATAAACAAATATTTAGATCATCCCTGATAATGTAATCACAATGTATAAGGTTATATACAATGTCTTAAAACATTGCATATTTTCGCTTTGAAATTTCCCTTTGTAGGTGCCCTTTTCCAGAAAGTGCCCTTTTTGGAAGTCGATCCGCCGCCCCTGTCCTACATTGTAGGGATGATCTTCAAGATTTTAACTGGCTCAGCACACTTTCGAGTCATATGAAGATTCATTTACGAGAGAGCACAGATTTTTAAATTTGATGATGATGATCCACAGCACTTGTATGTCGCCATGTAAATATTCAAAGTCACCCGCTCCTAGCTCTTATAAGGCGCGGATCCAGGATTTTCCAATAGGGGGGGGGGGGGGGGGAGGGGGGAGGGGGGAGGGGGGGAGGGGGGAGGGGGGCAGGAAATTTAAAAATTGCGCAGACCATTTTTTTCAAGGTCATATATTAGAAGCACCATACCAGTACAATTTTTGACATTTTCATCCGGGGGGGGGGGGGGCTATAGCCTCTTGCCCGAAAACGTAATTTTCTGGTTTCACAATTCGGCTAGTGAGCGAAGCGAGCGAGCAATTTTGTGGAAGTGTTATCTATCACCAAAATAAACGAGAAAAGATATCAAAATCTCATTAATCGGGCAGCTCGCTGTCCCCCCCCCCCCATTAAGCTCGAAGCGCGGAAGCTTTGACCTTTCATTAATTATTAGAGAAAGAAGACTATTTTGTTGCACCATTCTCGACTCGTATTCCTTGTCTGAAATCATTTTTCCCCCTCCCGCGCAAAGCGCAGAAGCTTAACGTTTCATTAAATTATTAGAGAAAAAAGACTATTCGTTGTACCGTTCTCGACTCTTAATCCTTGTCTGAGTTCAGTTTTCCCCCTCCCGCGCGAAAGCTTTTACGTTTCATTAAATTATTAGAGAAAGAAGACGATTCGTTATAACATTCTCGACTCTTAATCCTTGTTTGAAAGCAGTTTTCCCCCACCCCTCTCGCGCGAAGCGTGGAAGCTTTGACCTTTCATTAAATTATTAGAGAAAGAAGACGATTCGTTGTACCATTCTCGACTCTTAATCCTTGTTTGAATTCAGTTTCCTCCCGCCCGCGCGAAGCGCGGAAGCTTTGCCCTTTCATTAATTATTAGAGAAAGAAGATTTGTTGTACCATTCTCGACTCTTATAACTTGACTGAATTCAGCCCCCCCCCTCTCGCGCGAAGCACGGAAGCTTTGGCCTTCATAGTTTAATGAAATTATTAGAGAAAGAAGATGATTCGTTAATTGTTCCATTCTCGACTCTAAATCCTTCTCTGAATTCAGTTCCCCACTCCTGCACTTTGCGCGGAAGCTTAACGTTTCATTATTAGAGAAAGAAGATGATTCGTTGTACCGTCATCGACTCTTTATCCTTGTCTGAATCGAGTTCCCCCTCCCGCTTTGACATTTCATTAAATTATTAGAGAAAGAAGACGATTCGTATACCGTTCTCGACTCTTAATCCTTGTCTGAATTGAGTTCCCTCCTCCCCCCCCCCCCCATCCCGCGCGAAGCGCGGAAGCTTTGACGTTTCATTAAATTATAAGGGAAAGGAGACGATTCTTTGTACCATTCTCGACTCTTAATCCTTGTCTGAATTCAGTTTTCCCCTTCCCACGCAAAGCGCAGAATTATTAGAGAAAGAAGATGATTCGTTTTACCATTCTCGACTCCCGATCCTTGTCTGAATTCAGTTGCCCCTCTCCCGAGCGATGCGCGGAAGCTTTGACATTTCATTAAATTATTAGAGAAAGAAGACGATTCGCTGTACCGTTCTCGACTTGTCAGAATTTTCAAAAATGTTTCTTTGTCTGCTCCTTTTTCGTCCTATGTCCTCTCACTGCCCCTACCGCCCCTGGCTACGCGCCTGCTTTAAAGGGAAAATGAAACAATCATGATTGTGATAGCACACAATTAGGTTAGTAGAAATGAAAGGGAAAAAAGATCTATTACACCAACCATGGATAAATCACGGCCAGGAGCGTCATAGTTTTGTGTTGTCGGCCGAGGGCCGGGGCGTAGCGACCAAGCGAGATTTTGCAATGTTGAATGCTGAAATTATGCATTCTAGAAAAATCCCTTAGCCCAATATGTACGTTCTTTTCGCTATATTTCTTTCTAGCTATATATTTCTAAATTTCCTGGGGGACGTATCCCCCTATCGGGCCCAGGATTGCCGCCGCCCCTGTCCATGATTACTACCAACATGAGTTCAAATACAAGCACAAGCGAGTTGGTATGAGCTGAATCCAAATGAAGTGCAAAATAAGAGTTGTGAAGCGGCCCTATACCGTTAATTTGACTGTTGGTTATATAACTTCTATTTAAAAGACATCCACAATATTGTGCCCTTTTCAAATTTCTCACTAAAGAGTGATGACCGCAGGGGCTGTTCTTAACGTTTAAGTTTGAATCCGCGGCTCGAGATTTTATGCGGCTGGCCCTGCCCCCCCCCCCCCCCCTATTCAATAACGATTGCCAAGCCTTCTGGAATTACCCCCAAATCTCCCAATTACAGTTTTCCCTTATTCGTCGTTACTGTCACTTAGCGCCATTTCCTTGTCTTTCCCCCTCACCCGACTTTTCTTTTCCCCCACCCCCACCCACTCAGTGTTATCTAGGGTACGCACATGTATGTTCCCTCTCTTTGAAAGCACCCCTCTATGTCCGGTGTGTAAAGTCAGTACGGGCCGGATTTTTGTGTATTATGGGCCGGACTTTGTTGCGTGAAAAGTAACTCTTTATCGGAAATTTAGGTAACACAAATTCGGTCCCTCCGACCCTGGAGTGGGAGGGAGGGGGGGGGGGGGGGGCTTTCTTCTTTATCTTTTCTCTTCTCTTTTCTTTACTCTTCTTTTTTTCCTTTCTCTTCTCCTTTTTTTTCTCCTCTTCTCCTTTCTTTTTTTCTCTTCTTTTCTTCCTCTTTTTTTTTCTTCCTTTTTTTTTGCGCCGCCAATAGGGGGGGGGGGGGCCGCGGCCGTTTCGGCCCCCCCCCCCTGGATCCGCCACTGCTAACTTAGTGATTTCTAAAGTTAAACAACTGTTTATTTAGACACGACTTCAGAATACGGGCCAATATGTCTATCCATGTTCATATGCTGGTCAAAATAGACACCATGAAGATTGCGTGCACTTTCATTAGAGGGGGACAGAAACTTGATCGACCGACACATCCATGGAAGATCTTACTTCTCATTCGAGGAGAGCAGACCCCTGTTACACATGCGTCGGCTTTTAAAGCGGGCCCGGAGGCGGCCTCACGCCTGCAATTTGAAACCACCTCGAGATAATCAAACCCCTGTTACACATGATCTCGGGCCCGCAATTTTGCGTCTACACATAGGCCGGCCTCACGTCGCCTTTTCACGAGCTGACGTTTGAGCGGACTCCAGAAAGACAGAAAGAGAAAGTGATAGAATGATAAAAACAAAGAATAACATAAGAGAAGTTGATTGAATGATAAAAAACAAAGAATAACATAAGAGAAGGTGATTGAATGATAAAAACAAAGAATAACATGAGGAAAGACGGAAAGAGAAAGTGATTGAATGATAAAAACAAAGAAAACATAAGGAAAGACAGATAGAGAAAGTGATAGAATGATAAAAACAAAGAATAACATAAGAGAAGGTGATTGAATGATAAAAACAAAATATAACGTAAGGAAAGACAGAAAGAGAAAGTGATAGAATGATAAAAACAAAGGATAACATAAGCAAAGACGGAAAGAGAAAGTGATTGAAAGATAAAAACAAAGAATAACATAAGGAAA